TCAGATTTTTAATTAAGCACTTAGAACTACAATTGTCTCTTGAACAAATCGAAGGTTAGGGGCACTGAACCCCAATGTGGTTGAAAATCCACTTACAACCTTTGACTGCCCCCAAACTTAATTACTGGTAGCCTACTGTAGTATCCACTCCTCTGAACACCTCTTGATTTCTTAGATTCCCTCTGTCACTAAACCTCACCAATAAATTATTCTGTATGTCCATTATTCTTTGCCTGTGTTTCCTAATTTTTTTTCAGTTTTTAAGTAGATTGTATCCCTAAGAACTTTGTACCACAGATTTAATCATCAGTTATGAAACTATCCCTTTAAACTTTATTAGATGTTTTTACAAACTTAAAAAGTCTTCTTTTTAAAACAGATCCATCCATTAATGTTTTCTAGTAATTTCTTATAATTTTCCTTAAAATCTGACTGTCATTTGTGTTTCTCTTATGACGTTAGCCTTCTTGAATGACTGAAAAAAAGCAACCAGGCATGATTAGGTTTCTATTTCTTATTCCCCTTATTTTCTGCCTTTATGGACGGTAGTACATATTTTGTTGTCTGCCTAACATTTAATACAACAGTATTAACGGGTATTGAAAACCTACCCAGTAATTAAAGTGAAGACTTGCTACTCTCTATCTTTTTTGATAAAATATTTCATGTGATTATTATCCACATGGTTTTCTTGATATTTATTCTAATTTCACTGTTCTATTCAAATTCAATTCCATGACCTGTCTTAATATCTAAGTCCCTCACACAAACTAATAGTGTTCTTTTTTGTCTTAATAAAAAAATCATTATTACCTCCTGATATATTTCCCAAACCCTCTCCACAATTCTATAAGATAGATATTATTTTACCTATTTTATAAACTCAGGTTCACCAAAAGGAATTATGTTTCTAAGTTTAATAAAGTAAATGTACCACGTTTGCTTGTTTTGGAGGTTAAGAGTAGGGCTGGGGGTTTAGAAGGGCTCAAAATAGTCATATTTTTTAGTAAACCCTTCAATTAATTAATCAATTAATTTACTCATATGTTTCTGATATGGGGGTCCCAGAACCTATCTTTTGAATAAGCTTCTAACTGATCTTCTGAAAAAAGAGTTTGTTATCCTGTCCTTTGTATCTAGACTTTGGTTTGTAAATCTGACCCTCAGAAGGAACCAGTAATTTCTCCACTACTTTTGGTTCATGGTTTACTGTTGGCAGTTTCTCATATTTTGAGGGAACCTATTGACCTTGTACCTTATCAGGATACTTGCCTGATCTGACTCTTATTTCATCAAATGTAAATATTTATTTGAACTAAAAATTAAGTAAACATGCAATGCTTTCTGAGGAGGAAAAACAAATCTATGTTATATGGGAGTACTTACTAATCAAAGTCAGTCTAATTTGCTATAGATATTTCTCTGTGCTGCAAGGGCCCAGAGAGACTAGAGTGAAATCATTCACTTGGGACTCCCTGCTGGGATGTCTGCCTGTGTCTCACCAGTCCATGACAGAATCCCTGAGGTGGGAAGATCACCGGCATTTCCCAAAGATGCCTGGGCTATCACTTGGATGCCTAAGGGCATGCTTTAAAAATATGTATCTATGCCACTCTTAGAATCCCTAGGGTGAGAAGGCTATCCCTACATCCATGCTGACCACCTCCTTGGACACCTACTGTACCTGGTTTTCTCCGTATTTTTAAAGAAGTCTTGTATTACTGAACAGCCAAGTGCCACCACTGTTCTACAACCAAGACTATCATAAAACACTCAGGAAAAGTCTCAGGTTTGGCGACTAACATCTGGTGTTAACTAAGTGCTCAGAAGTAGTAGTATTTACATTCCTAACCCAAGGGCCCAGTAATTCATTAACTGTTATATGAAATGACTTTTCAAAATCACCTAGCTCTTTCATTGTAATTCTGATTTGAACGACTTTACCACACTGGTTTAATTTAAGAGATCCTGCTATTATCAATCAGATCAGTACTTGGCTTTTTCCTTCTGTTCTGAACATGAAAAATAAAAAAAAAATGCAGTCTTTTTCAAACTTAATTGATCATTAAGTGTGTGTGTGTTTGGGCATAGAGGAATAATAAATATATTATGACTAAACGTGAAGGAATCACATTAACAGGGAGGAATGTGCCTGGGTGTTTTAAAGGCTAGCTTCTCTTCTTGAGCTTATTTTTATTGATAGCCCATGAATGTCTAGTTTACCTACGTTTCTCAGGAGTCTCTTGGTTTTACAAACCAAGCCATAATATACGTGGGGTGGAGAGCTGCCTTTTAAGCATAATCTGCACAGATAATGAAGATCCTATATGTTATCTGGGCACCAATGGTTGGGGAGCTTTCTAAGATGAGAAATGGGTCCCTAATTAATTGTGTTGTGAAATTTCCAAGTTGGTAACTTGTATGTTATCCAGTTTATATATTAGTTTAAAATAATTAAGCCAGTGAGTCACACAAATATTGATTGACCCTGGTCCTTGGTGTAGTAATTTAAACACATGTGAATTAAAGGATCCTTGCCAATTATTGATAAGCACTAATGAAGGTAGAAAAGATTAACTTAAGTGATTACATTTGATTATAAACATAAAAATGAGACTTGAATTATGTGCTTATGATCATGAGCAATTAATGATTTTTAGTTATGTAGATATGAAATATTGATCTAATTCTGACAGTGGTAATATGAGCACCTTGGAACTTCTATAATGAAGTAATTCTTTCCCTCACATGGAATTTGTCACCCTGGACAAATTCTACATAGGTGCTATAAGAATCCATCAGTGAGAATGACCTGAAACATTTGAGTATCAAATATAATCCATAAAAAGCAGAAAGATGTCTTCCAACTATCTCTGCCAAATTGCCAGCCCTTATTTTAAAGACCAGAGATAAAAATAACCAGTAAAATTTGATCTATGAAATTTCTGTGACTCCCAAGTGGCTCTTTTTCTTTGGAATTAAGTATTAGAAACATATATATGCAGTCCAAAATAAACTAACATAGATTATTTAACCCTGGCCATAATAATTCCTTTTAGATAGGTTGTATACAGAAAGAGTAGGTTGTTCATAAAAACAGGAAAATGATGATATAGTGCTTATTTGTATCATCTTTGAAAAGAAGTGAAAATAACATTTCCTGAAACTGAGGTAGAGGGCCATTTTTATCACCTGCCAGAAGAAAAAGCGCCTCTCATAAAATTGAGCACTGGCCAGCAGAATCTCAAATCTGTGTTTACATGGAGTTAAGGAGCTCAGGTAAACTGTTGGAACAGGTTGGAAACCTCCTTAGACAAAATACGGAGGGGATGAGCAAAGCCTGAGTCACACACATCCTCCCCCTGTCACACCTGTCACGTCACTTTCCTCTGGCTCAGCAGTTCTCAAACTCCGACCTGTGTCAGATTCACCTGGAGGTGAGTCACACAAACACAGCCTGGTGGTCCTGTCCTAGAGTTTCCAATTCTGCAGCAAGGCTTGAGAATTTGCATTTCTAACACAGGCCCAGGTGATGCCAGTACCAGGGACCACACTGAAGACCACTGCTCTGGCTTAGATTCTGGTAGAAAGAGTACTCCTCTATTTAGGTTTCTATGCCTTGGGAGTACTGCTCCTAAATGGAGCAGCCATTTAGGATGATTGTCTAAAAATGTGGCACTGTTGGGGAGCCACACAGGCGACCTCTGAGTCTCCTGGGGGTGGGGGTGGGGCCATGTGTCCAGGCCTCCTGCCCCCATTGCTTTCACCTGCACCCCCAAGATGAACTGTTTTATTTAACCACTTGTCAGCTGGCTTTGCAGCATGTTAAGAAAGTGCCCTTCTGTTTATAGAGAAGCTGGCAGCCAAGAAGCCATGTTGAGATGGGGCAAGAGGAGGCTGGTGTAGGATCAGGGCAGAAGTTGCCAGTCCCAGGCGTCAGCCTTACCTGGGTGCAAATCCCAACTTAGACACTTGCCAGCTGTCAGAGGATTGTGAAGTGGGTAGAAATATAAACACGATTTACATTCTTCCTACTTTTGCACTGGGGACAATGCATTGCCTTGGGAATGAGGATCATGGAAATGGGAGCATTGGCTGCAGTGAGAGTCATTCAGTTGTCCAGAAGCCAGTGGCCAGTGAAGTTCAGCACAAGAATCTGAGGTTCCAGAGCCCAAGAACCACAGCTTTTCTATATTAACTTAATGAGCAAGAGTGGAGGGCAAGAATGAATTCTAGGTTTTATTTATAATAATAACTAACCTTGACTATGTGTTTATTAATCTCCATTGATAAGAGAGAGAGACAGAGAGAGAGAAAAGTTCACTAATACTGTATGTGGTTATCAAGTTGTGTTTTGTACCTTTAGATGAAGAATTAACTACTCACCATCAGAAGACTCAAAGTAACTGTTACTTTAAACAACCTACCTTAAACTTACACTCTAATTGGAAAATTTCTCACTGCTACCATTTTTAATGGCAACATGTACCCATAAACCTCGTGCCCCTTTCTCCTACTGCCTATCTGCACAACATGAAGCCAAAAACCAGTCATTACACAAGAAATATTTCCAAAGAAAAAGAGAACCATTTGATTAATAAACATGGAGGAAAAGAAGCATAAAACAAAAAAACAAATTTCAAGAGATTTAATCTCAAATGAAAACTATCAAGCCATAGAAAAAATTGTGGATCCACATCTCCATTTTAAGCTATTTCTTAAATTACTTTGTTCATTTTCTTTAGTATGGTCTTGAGACAAACTCCATCAGTAAAACACTACTTTGAGATTTGTCAGTTTGAAGGCTTAAAGCAGGAAAGGGAGAGAGATGATACATTTTAAATAATGTTTGGTAAAACCTTTAGAAAACTGGGTCATGAAATGGAAAGAAGGCCAACCCACACTGAACCTGTTGGCTTTTTATGTGTCAGCCTCTCCTGACACTGCAGCGGTTTTTCTTTTCAGAATTAAGCAATCCTATAAAAAGAGCCTGTTCTTACCCTCATCCTTCCGTTCCTTATTGCTGGCCCATCCTCTGCCAGTCGCAGCACGTACAAATCCATTTTGTATTCCCTTCCTCCACGAATGCTGAATCCAAATCCTTTGGCTCCTTTCTCCATGTCCACAGTGAAATAATCAAAATCCTTTGGGATTGGGGAGATAATGGAATAAACAGTTATTTAAAATCAGTGGCACTTCCGTGGTTAGCTTCCCTATTTTCCTCCTGTCTCAGTTAATGTGTTCCAAATGACACGATGCGGGGAGAAGCCATCTGACTTCACGGTCTAGGAAAATGCAAGACAGAAGAATTCTAAGGGTTCAAGTGGATCAGAGAGCAGCGTGCTCGGCCAGTAAAAAAAGCTCCTTTGCGTTCATTAACTTTGGTGTTCAGCCCTTTACTCAGCGAACATGTTATTACTGCATGCAGGTGGGAGTGGGGTTTTCTCTCCTTTGAGTTTTTGCAGTCAGGGCTGATGAGCACCACAAATAAATGTCTCAGTCATGTGTGTCTGTGAATTACAGGTCTGCTGATTAGAAAAGTGATATTTAATGGGGTCTTTGATGTACCTGGGGCGGCCTGTAGTCTGATGGGGGGTACTGCCTGGTGTCAGGGGAGTGCTGCCTGTAGTCCAGCAGGGGAGGCTGCCTGTAGTCCAGGGGCGGGGGTTGCTGGTAGTCCCCCGCTGGAGGCTGCCTGTAGTCCAGCGGCGGCTGCCTGTAGTCGGTGAACGGAGGCTGCCGGATGTCTGGTTTCACATCTTGCCTCGCTTTTACTTCTGACCTGTAACTAAATAAATGGAAATGGATTTGCTTCGTTATCTCAGCATCCTAAAGAGATTAGAATGATCCCATGACCTCTTTAGACATGACAGGCCACATCTCATGGTGGTCGTCCTGCATGTTCAGAATTATGAGAAGACTAAATAAAGGATTATTATTTTTGAATCTTTGACAAATGCCATATTGTATACTTTTCACTTGGTGCCTTAGGAAAGCAATCAACCAGAACTCCGGGGAAAAGGACTTAGGGATATCTCTCACTGGCTTTGGCCATGTAAAAACTGTACAACTATGGCAAATCCAGGGAATGAAACACTTAACTCTACATCCAAAAATACCGGTCCGTCTCAACACCAGTAAATCAACTTTCTCAACCTCTCTCTCTCTTTCACACACATACGCACCATACATTATTTCATGGAAACATGATTAAAATGATCTCTGAATACTCCAAAAATACATAATTAAAGGTGATTTTAACCTGTTGGGTCTTTCTGACTACCTTACAGAGGTTAAAAGGGTGATAGTAAGGTATAATCATCAGCCGCAAATCAAATAGAAAGTCATTGGGTCATTACTAAGAATAGAAGCATATTATGTAGAGTTTAAATACTAGACTATAGCCATCAGTTTCGTATCAGATACTGTCCCAGTCGTAAGATGCAAGGAAAGAAAAATGATCCTGTCCAACATTTGCCTCTTTCTTGTTTCTAGATTTTTAATTACTAATAAAATAAATACAGAGACCAGAACTAGTTATTTATTGCTGTGCTGTGAATCCAAACTGCTGTAAACTGAGAGGGTTGCCAGTTCCAAAAGGGGAGTCAAATACTCCATGCCTATTGTTATGGCATTTTTAATAAGATAAATCGAAAAATTATCACAATATAGAGGCTACTTAGTTCTGTAATTCATTGTCCATTGTCATGGCAACAGCCTATAGTGACTAATCAGGGATATTGGAAGATTTAAAAAAACACATTCTACATAATAACATTTTATTTAATTTCAGATAAAATAAGTTTTATCTAAAATTAATATGGAGGGTTTGAGGAATTGAAAAAATATTTAGTACCAAGGACAAACTTAAATGAGTCAGGAAAGCAGGTTCAAGACTAGCAGAATTTTACTTTTCAGACTGGATGGGTTTTCACTGGCTTATGGTCTCACTGATGCCTATTAGTACTAAATATTTTTAAAAAACCACTCACCTGAACAATTGCTGTAAATGTAATTTAATATTTGGTGAGGACACAGTTAAAGTGCATGACAAAGGATAGATTTATTTGGGACTTTTGGCAGGGAGTTGGGGAGGTTATTTTAATGCTTTGAGTTGGTTCCATTTGTTACTTAATCTTGCAGAAGTGACACATTCCTTTTGTGAGTTGCATAATTTAGGCTTTGCTTTGTACAGTAGCAAGTGGCCCACACACTGACTGAGAGTGTGCCTGTTGAGAACAGAATTATTTAAAACATGCTTTGAATAAGATGCTTACCTATGCAAATGCATGAATTAAACAAAAGGAACTGGCTATTTGGTGACATTTGTTGGTGTGTGGTGGTTCCTTTCTAGAAATAGCTTGCTTGGTGGTTTAGATGTTACGTTGTTTTAGCTTGCTTGGTGGTTAAGATGTTACATTTAATGGCATAGTTACCTTAGTTTCATTATCTATGCTACTGGCATGAAATATCCACACCAGATATGGATGCTCCATTTCTAACCAGAGGTGTCACAAGGTATAGCAAAAAAGGGAGAAATGTAAGAGTTTCCCCAAAGATTAGGCAGATCGTCTAAATGTTATTATGTAGAATAGGCAGATCGTCACTTTTATTTTACCCCACTTTAATGTGGAAACTGGCTGAATTTGACATCTAGGTGGGCACTTCTTGTACAAATGAACTAATAGGAAATTCATACTCTGCCCTTGGCATACAAGCTGTCTTGGAGGCATTCTAGCTTGATCTAGAAAAAAGCAGAGTTTCTGTCTGATACCATGACTATCTTCAAATGCAGCTAGGAAAATGGAGTTTTTGATCTCTTCATTCATATGGAAAATGAATTCCCCAAAGATTGCACAAAAGCCTGAAATAGGAACAATTAAAACTTGCTACATCTGTCAGCCAAGTCTACCTTCCTGCACCAATGCTGTGTGTCAGGATTTCACTTGAACTGCACATTTCCTTATTCTTAAATAAGGAAAATATACTTAATTTTTTATGAGTGTTGCTGATACATTGACTAGGAAAAAATTATGGTGCTTTGAATTTGTGAAACATTTTAAGGAAAACTCAGGATTATTAAAAAAAGCCTCTTTAAATTTCTTGCAGTCATGAAAGAAGGTCAGTATAACCTTTGGTAGCTCTTAATTCCCTTATTAAAGAGACTTCGGAGATGATAAAACCAGATTACTAATGGTGAATTCTAGCAGAATGCTGTGGTATAAACAAGTGCTAGAACCAAGAAATGCTGCCATGTGGTGGGATTATCGTGAGATTTTGCCTCATGTGGGCCTTTCAAGAATTCCTTCCAGCCTTAAGCATCTAAGGTTCAAAATCTGTGAAAGAAGTCGATTCCAGTGCTCTTCCACGGACCTGGCTATTTAAAATGCCATCAAGTATCAGCTGCCCTTGCTGGGGAAGGTGAACTCTGCTATTTATATTTAGTTCTGGAATATATTACATAACAGCTCTTTCATCGTTCTTAACAAATGTTTCTCTTTGAACAGTGTTTTACTTATGCACATATTGAAATGATTTTGCCTCCTGAGCACACACCAAAAGAATGTTAGGGAACAGATAAATAGGCAGAGGTGTGCAGGGTATTAGGAAGTCAATTCAAGAGTAAATAAGGATAAAATATTCACTCATTCTAACTTGTAAAATAAAAATTTGCAAGCAGATCGTCACTTTTATTTTACCCCACTTTAATGTGGAAACTGGCTGAATTTGACATCTAGGTGGGCACTTCTTGTACAAATGAACTAATAGGAAATTCATACTCTGCCCTTGGCATACAAGCTGTCTTGGAGGCATTCTAGCTTGATCTAGAAAAAAGCAGAGTTTCTGTCTGATACCATGACTATCTTCAAATGCAGCTAGGAAAATGGAGTTTTTGATCTCTTCATTCATATGGAAAAGAGCCACCCACAGGCAATTAAAGAGTTTAGCCAGGAACCCAGTGCCAGGACAGGCCCAAGAGCTGGAGGAGGCGTTTGCCAGCCTTTCCATATTACTGAAGCAAACACAGCTGAGCTCTCTGGGCACACCTGTTGGCGATTTATAAGAATTTGGCTCAGGTCAGTCTGTTGATCCCAGGCTTAGTAAGGAAGAATATTTATTTTGTAGTCACGACAAACAATATTCCAAAGACTGCTGCTGCTTCTGTGCTGGGGGCCACTGAGTCCTTAAGTGGTGAGCTAGTAGCGGATGGGACAGCATGGTGGCCTCGCCCAAATATTGCTCTTTCCACTGGATTGGAACACACCAAGGGCTACATTACCTACCCACGGCAGGAAGCAAGAGGCATGTCCAGGAGAGTCTGGCCCCGGGAGGAGGAGGAGGAGAGAGTTGTGGGGGACTAAGCAGCAGCCAAGAAGAGTCAGAAGCTGGCTCGGGGACCACCAGTGCACTGAGAACCCTCCTCCTGAGTCTAAAATGAATCCTGGGGAAAGCGGGTGCAATTTGTCCAAACACACGATGGAAGCGAATACATGGAGCCTGTGACTGAGGCACCCAGGACTTAATCCTCTTACGGGTTGTCAAACTCTTACCTCTGCAGCATTTGCTCTGTGGCGCTTAGTCTTTTGTCTTCCCTAGACTATATTAAAACCATAAACACTTGAGGACAACAGACATTAACTTTTCTATGAAAGCAAATGGGGGAAATCAGAAAAGAACAGGACTCCATGGAAATAACAACTGTGGCACAGGGAGAATATCTGCTTGGCAGCAGTGGGAGTGATGGACCTGGGCATCTGGGACTCAAAACCTGGGCCTCACCTCATCTTCACCACATGCAAGGCAGGGGGTGGGAAGCAGATGTTCAGAGAACATTAGGATCGTGGAAGAGAATGGTGAGGGCTTTGCTGTGCTCAGAGATGCCCCCATGGGTTGTTTTGTTTGTCTTCTTTGAAAGGGGAGAAACACCACGGGAACATATCTCCAGATCTTTCTTTAATGGCTCAACCTTACCCAGGCTCCCTGTTACACAGAAGTCAAAATAAGAAGACAGTGTTGCTTTCAATACAGCATCCTTTTTCCTGGCAGTTCAAAGTGCCTTATTCACATCAGTCCATGATGTGGAATGGAAGAACCTCTTAGATCACGGGTGGGAGGAAAACGCGGTAAACATGCACATGTATTAATGCTTACAAATCCTTCAACATTCCCCCCTCTCTCTGCCCTGTCACCCTTTAAGCCACCCTCTCCATGGTTCAGTGGACACTGGCAGCATGTCTAACTCCTTGACCTGCATTCACCCTGACCATCCTCCTGTCTGTCCTTTGTAGTGATTGAGATATTTTGAAGAACCAGTCCAATGATTTCAGTCCTCAGCTTAAAATGTTCCAAAGACTTCTCACCACACTAAGATCAAACTCCTTAACACACTTACACACCCTGCAGGGTGGTTCCTGCGCCCCCTCACTGGCCCCTCCTCACATCCCCTGGTTGGCCTGACCTCCCTCCTCCACGGGCCTGCTCCCTGCTGCCAAAGACCCTGTCTACACAGTCTTCACTCTGTGTGGACTCTCTTTAAGGTGCCCTTCAGCTAGATCACTCTACTCCTCTGCAGTCACTCATCATTCCTTCAGGAAAGGTTCCCTTATTATGAAGGACAGATGCTTATATTTATTAATGAAGCCACATTGATAATATCCACACAGTCTCAAGATCTCAGCAAGATGCACATGGCAATTTCTACTTTATGAAGAGCTCTCTTCTGCCTGTGTCTTCCCCTGTCCCAAACTCTCCCTCTGTGTACCTCTTCTCACCTCTCAGAATTAGAAAAGCCAGAGGAAACCTTACCTATTTTCATGTCCTTGCGGCTGAAGTGGCTGAGGAGGAGCCGGTTGGGTGACAGGACTACTGGGAGTGGCTGGGCTGGGCTGGGCCAGAGGGCTCTGCTGGGCCAGGGGGCTGTGCTGCTGGGCCAGGGGGCTCTGCTTCTCTGAGCTGGGTGCCGAGGCGGGGCTGTGGAGCTCTGCAATGGGGAACCGAAGGGTGCATACAGGCAGGTTGGCGCTTGACAAATGATGAGAGGTGGCCGAGATGGTCACTCAAGGCTTTGGTTATTTCAGTTTCTGTTAGACTTTAAGGAAGCAGCTTAAACGTACAAGTTCTAATACCACTCCCGTAATTACCATTCTTTTGTTATTACTGTTGCCGAACAAGGTTATGAACAGGGTCTCTTGCCATTTTGTCAGAAGAGAAGATTACAGTTAGAAAAAAAAAACCTGTTAAAACTATGAAAAATACTTCAGAGAAGATCTGAAATATATTTTATGGCTCCAGCATTACTTGCTGGGGGAAAACATTTCAGCCACTACTTTTTGGTTATAATGTGATGAGTCCTACCAGTCCTTAGAATGGATAAGGAACTAACAATAGCAAACGTAAATGCTGCGTACAATCTTCTTCCCAGTTCCTTGTTAGTCTTATTCTTATTGCCTAATAACGCTCTGTGCTCCATGTTTCCCCAGACAGAAGAATGAACAGGACAAAGGAAGGTTCATAAAGTTGTTCTTTGTTAAAACTGCTTCTAGGATTTTCTTGTCATAGCATCAAATTACCAACTGAAATATCTCTCCCTTTTGGAATAAGAGCAGAACAGACTTAATTCTGACTGGGAAAATGGAGAAGCGAGTTAAATTTTTAGTGAGCAAATAGAAGTAATGTCCCTTGAATATTTCACACATAACGGTATCAGCAAATAAGCAGTTAAAAATAACATGGTCATTTTCTGTTCTTTTATTTCTTTTTTTGGTTGGGTGATAAGAGGGAGGTGATCTATTCCTTTATTAAGTACTTTCTTTTCTTACAGCTCCAACTAAAAAATTTCGTCTCCACTGTATCAGGGTTTCCTGGCTCTGGCACTCCTGACGTTTGGGCAGGTCATTCTTGGCTGCTGTGCCTGAAGGGTGTTTGGACGCTTCCTTGCTCTCTACCCACTAGAAGACAGCAGCATTCCAGCCACAACTGAGACAATGAAAATGTCTGCAGACACTGCCAAACACAAAATCATCTTAGCTGAGAACCGCTGTTTTGTCCTGAAAGTCAGGCAGCTGTTGATGCTCCTTGTCAGACGGCCCCCAGGTGGAATTGGAACCCTGACTAAAACAGGGGACCAAGCTGAGTGAGCATGACACGCACCCATGGGACACTGAGGTGCACTCACCAGTGAGCTCCAGGGACCGAATTCCCAGGTGTCATTCATGAGCCAGTAGCCACAAACTGGTAATGAGCCCACTGCACCTGGCAGTGGTGAGTTTGGGGTGAATCGGGACTTAAAATTTTGTGGCCCCTTAAGGCCTGGCTGAGGGTTGCGATGCTCGCTACTCGTCAAGCCTCAGGGGGGAGTCGTTGCACAGAAAAATTCAAAAGGCTGAGTAGGACTTTAAAATTCTTATCAGACGCCACATTTTCTAAATGACCTCTCTTTATACCACAAAACTTCCTCGAGCTTTTCAAAATCAATCTGACTTTGAAGAATCCTCCAGAGCTTAACTGTTAACATGATTTTTTTTCTCTAGATTTGTAACTCTACAATCTCTGTTGAATGAGTTCTGGCTTAACCATAAAAACGGTATTCCCAGGACCATAGGGAATGATTGACTAACCCAGTGTCTTGGGATTCACACTCTTATCTATGATGTCACGTAGCTTGATCTCCAAATGAAACTGGTACTGAGTAAACAGGATATAGATTGCAACAGAGTGTGAATTTTTTACAAAAGTGGATACACCAGTCAGCTTGCGATACTGACAGCATGCTGATGGCAGGCAGGTGGGCTCCGCGAGCCCGGCTCAGGCACTCACCCTCCTGGGGAATGATGCGAAGTGTGACACTCAGGCCTGCATCCTTGATGAGCTTCACGATGTCCGCGTGCGGCATGCTGACAATGGACTGGCCATTCACTGCTAGGATCCGGTCTCCCACTTTCAGTTTTGCACAGCGATCGGCAGGACTCCCATCAATGATGCGTCCAATTTTATGTGGCACAGCTAAAAAAAAAAAACAACCCAAAATAAATAGATATCAGGGGATTAACAATACATGTTGTGTCTTTGAGTCCCATCCCCCAGGATGCAGTTGTCAGAATCCTTCTTTTGTCAGTATATTTGCCTCTCAAATCACAGACACTCCCATCAAACATGGTCCCATGCAGAACTTCTAAATCTGAGTCCTTTGTAGTGACTGGCCAATCCCCAACACATGGACTGGGATGCGTCATAATCATGCTAGGATTAAAAATAAAGTTTTTGGGCCTTACCCTGGACTTGTAAATCACAATGTTCAGGCAGGAGGTGAGGATCATGGTGTTTTAAGAAGCTTTTCAGGATATTCCAACACATTAAACATTTTGAGAACCATTGACCTAAAATGCTGTGTCCAAAGAGCTTATTCTCTAGATACCATACCACACAGTTTGAGAAGGATACAATAAATGCCAGGAATGTGATTTCTACCCTTTTCTACTTCACTGAGAGAAGACAGGAAAGGAAAGGAATCATTACTAACATGAACTGCAGCCGCTGGTGAAGAAGTTACGGCCAACTTCCCACTCATCTGCTAGGCTTTGGTTTACAAGTTGATGGCTTTTTCAAATCTTACCTCTTCTTTTTGACTAAATTTATTAAACGGTGCTTAGATCTTGCTCTATCTAAACACAGGGTATTTCATCAACTCTAAGAAGCCATTGATGGTGTGGCACACCTTTATTTTATGTACCACAAGAAAAAAACCCCAACTCTGCCAGTAAAACAGTAATACCCCATGGGCTGTCATTTGCTCTCTAATTTTTGAAATATTAAAATACAAAAAATGGGTACTGGAATTGATGAATATGGCATATGTCTCTTTAAAACAATGAATATGTACATTCTATATTTGTGTGGGGAGAGCCACGTATGTGAGAACATAGATTTTCTAGCAGGTTGACTTCTATTTAATACAAATGTTTGAGCGCCTACCAGGATGACTATTTTCCAGGGTCAGACATAAGCAGTACACAGCCATTGTAACCTCCCTCAAGGAGCTTACAGTCTGGAAATGTGTTGCCTTTCTTTTCTCCCTCTAAGACGGGGAACCCCAGCCAGGAGGTCACCCCTTGATGCCTGTGTCTTGCTGCTCCCTGTGGAAGTCAGGCACTGCTTTCATCAGCATCAAGGGGCAGAGAGACTCGCCCCTGCTCATTTCGCTCCGGGGATGTCTGCCCCTTGAACTCTCAATCTTGTGTATGTGTTACAGTGAAAGGTAGAACATGGGCTACTAACCATGGGAAGGGAAGACAATCAGTGGGTTAATGAGCTGGTGCCCCAGTTGTATTTCTGTTGTGAAAGGTTATAGACAGCATATGAAAATACTGGCTGAGCCTGCGTCTCTGAAGTGAGACTCATCATCGTGGAGGCTCAAACACACTTTACCACAGGCACTAATGGCCTTAATTAAGAACGCCAGACTCAAAGCACACACGCTCAGCTTGGAGTCTTAGGATGAGCTACTTCGCAAGGACAAATGTAAGAAGAACTAATATATCTACATATTTTTTACAAATGATTTAGGTGTTGCAAGTTGTTTGGTCTTGGCCCATACATAGGATGGACTTCCACTTCTATCTGTGCTCCCTCACATGTTCAGCAGTCTTCTGGAACAGTCAGTCAATGACACGGCCTCCTTGGCCATAATGTGCATACTCTTATCTGTCCTGTGATCTTTGGAAAGTTACCTGACTTCTCTGAGTTTCTTTTTTTAATGTAAAATTGGGATAATACTACCATGGACCTCACAGGATGATTTTGAAATTAAATGAGTGATCACATGTAAAGAAACTAGAACAGTGCTTGGCATGCAAGGACTGATATATAAGTATGAACCTTTTTTTCATTCTTTTTATTACTGCTATCTTTTCAATGCTTCTGCTACACTCTTGATGTGTGTATGTGCTTGTGTGTACCTCCTGCATGGGATAGACCTGTAGTACTGCTCAAGCAGAAGGGAGGTTGCTTATGCCAGAGAACTATTCCTTCTGTACCAACACAGGAGAACAGCTTCATTTGGGAAAGACAGATGTGCTGTAGGGGTTTACAGAGACACTACAGGAGACCAAGAATCCTGTTTGCTTTTCTCTGGTTTCACAGAAAAAATGTTGTAGGTTTTGGTAGGAAAACACCAACTTGTAAGTAAGAGTTTATTATTCAAAGGCAAATTAGCATATTACCGATCTCTTCCTTATCCACACTGAGCCTTACACACACACTGTTATAGCTACCTTAAAATACACAAAATTCAAACCTTAACAAATCATGTGAGATACCTGATGGCATCACCATTGCAAGTTTATGGCAGAAGACCCTGTAGCGTCATGTGGTTAGCAATTTGCCCAAGGCCACAGAGTACCCAGGCTCTAACATCCCAGCCTGCCGGCTTCCAGAGCCTTTGCTCGTAGGCAATATGCCACACCGCCTCTTTTGACTTTACTGTCTCTTCCCTCCGAATGGGCACGTTTTCATGAGCACCTGATGCCTTTCTTTGGGAGTTCAGCCTGCCTCTAAGCAGGCCCTCGTCCAGAGGACAGGGGGAGGCAGGAACTTTCCTTGAAGGGAGCTCTTTGTGGCAGGCAAGGTGTGAGGAGGAGAGGGGAGAAAAAAGAGGGGAGAAGAGCAGAAATGGGATGCTCCTTAGATCCCTTTTAGTTAGGACTTCACATCATTGTGTCATTCCCTTATTTGAAGTCATTTCCTTGGATATTAGAAACACATTTGACATGAAATTTAAAAATATACTTTAAAACACATCCAAATGATATTTGGATGTTTTGAATTATTCACGCCACTGCTCCCCTCTATTACTGTGGATCACTTAGATTCTACTGGGCATAAAGCCCCAAATATTTCATATTTCAAAATAGAGATTTCATACACACACATACACATACACACTTTATGTGTTCAACAATAAAAACAAGTTATTATTTGTTCATATCCAGGCACTGTGCTACAAGCAATTACTTTAAATCCTTACAGTGACAGTGTGAAGTAGCTGTAAGAGTGTAATTATCATGCTCATTTTACTGGGAAGAAAACAAATAAGTTGCAAAGCTACAATTCAAACCTACGCCTATGGCTTTAAGTCTTGGGGTTACTCCCTTCTTTTTTTTTTGATATTAGGCACATTGGCAGCAACTGGAATTATGAAGAGTGAAGCAAATGAGCCTTAGCTTAGAAAAGCACATGGCTTGGGATTTCAAGATGAATGTTTCATGTTAAACAGATTTATTTGCTTATGATGATAACTCTTACTTTCAAGGCCATTTTCACTTTATTAAGGTAGGAAGAATAAAAAACTAAAATAAGAGAATAAAAAACAAAATAAAAGAATGAAAACTAAAATAAATTCTATGGTAGCCACATCGAATGATTGAGTGGCTTACCGAAAATGAGTGAGTATACAATTTGAAAACGTATGTCCAGTAATTGGAGGTACTAGCCATAGTTCCATTAAAATTGTTTTCTATTGGCATTTACTTTAATAAAAACAGTATGTACTTGAGATTCTTGGCAGCTGAAGACAGCTTCATTTTCCTGTACCAGCATTTCCCCTACATATGTAAGTACATTGAATGTTGACGTATAACAAATCATCAACAAAGGGGGCGCTCAGAGGGGATGCTCTCTGAAAAGAAGATGCAGTCCCATTTGCTCAGTTATTAGGTCTACAGAGTTTATGACCTACATGCTTTCTAGTGCATGGCTAATGGAATTACAGAGCATGGAAGAGGCCTTGACCTTGGTTTCTGTTATTGGGATAAATGGTGCTCATTAATTCTCTGAGAATTGATGAGTAAGGTAACTGCCAGAGTGTAGTCCACTTAGACAGCATGCCTTCCAGACATCATCTGGAAGCAAAATAAATCAAGTCTTAGGATCGGTCTTGACACAGTGTGCTTAGGATACCGAGATTATTTGGGAAAAGTTGCAATATGTCATGGTGCTTGGACATACTGACGTGGGAGGGAGAAACTCTATTGCTAGTTAGAAATTTCTCTTTAATTGCCAATCACATAAATCATGGAAAAAGAAATCCACCTTTTCTTTCTTTCTGGTTAAAACACTAGTGTACATTTATACAGCAATTTTATTTTTTCCTGTAGATGAACCAACTCTCTTGGCACGGTGCAACAGAGCACATGTATTTCAGTAGAAGTATTCAGACAATCAGTTGGACTGCAGGCCAAGACCATTCTGAAGGCCTGGTTTCTTTGGGTCTCTAGCTATACTCTTTAGGAAGCAATGGTCCTTTTCTCTTGCTGGTTGTGTGGTCTATCCAGGCTCCTTCAGCCACTGGTCAGGCAATGAGCTTCTTTTGAGTTCTACTTTGGGGCAATTTCCATAAAGAAGATGAGGTGGTTGTCTGGAGGACTTTTCTTGCTTTAGTGATAGACTCTTCCTGAAATTTCTGGCTGTACCTAATGGAAGGGGTAGTAAATCTCTCCACCCATTTCCCCCCCATATTTCCTTGTTGTTCCATGTTTTTCATTTTGGAGAAGGAAAAGCCTGTGACCCATGTTTACATTTAATTATCTCCTTGCTAATCTATCCTGTAAAGCATTAGACAAGGAAAGTGGATTCTGCATGACTCAAATCAAATTCACAAGCAAGAAGGTTCTGAAATGAGTGTGACACGAATAAATACTTCAAAGGCAATCAATAGCATAAACTCTCATTAGCTCACAATTCCATTAATTTGTGAAGGTTAAACAACATGTCACTAGCGTAAAGAGGCAAGGGAAATTAGTTTGGCTTTAGAATCTATGAGCTGATATGAAAAGAAGTGTGCTTTCTTTTTTTTTTCTTTTTCCAATTGGGTGAATCCAGTTGTTTTTCTTAAAATATTCTGTGAAAATGATTCACTGTCCAGTTTTAGAATGGTGGTTGGGGCAGGGGGATCCATTACTCCAACAGATAACACTTTTCTGCTTATCATCTCCTTAGTCACAGGCACA